CGCTGCCTACCACACTGGGTGACAGGCGTAAGTATGTGTGTGTGTGTGTGTGTGTGTGTGTGTGTGTGTGTGTGTGTGTGTGTGTGTGTGTGTTTCTAAAAGTTTGAACGCTTTGCTAAATACAATACCAAAAAATAAAACAGCACGTAGACGGCACTCAGAAAGCAAATCGGTACGAAGTTCTTCAAGAGTACTCGTTGTACACGCCTCCATGGAGGATGGAATTAAACAGTTTGTGAAGGAGTTTAATTACCGGTTTTTCACACGCTTTCAGAAACTCCGCTGTACTTCCATGCTTGCCCAGGGACATTCCGTTTTTAAGTTGCTGGAGGGCCATTCTAATCTCGCTAGGACTGACGTCCGGGATATTATCAGACTTGCTCTTGGATCGTTACTCACACTTGATTCCAACGATGACGTATACAGCTGCCCATAGAATCTCTCAATCTCACTCAAAATGTCAGGTGTCCTGGAAACAATGCTGCCACATTCAGGCTTCAGCTTCGATATTTGGCTCTTTCTGGTTCCTGAGCCCTGGTTCCACTCATTCGCTTCTTCAATACTAGCAGTATTAAAGTTGCATGAATCCGGAGATCTATCTGTTCAAATCCCTGATGCTGTCAAATCTGCTGACAACTGCTGCTTCATTTCCCGTCTAACAGCCATGAAATAAAGAGTGTGATTGGAAAATTTTTGTGTTCTTCTGTGACAGTTGTCTTAAGCTTGTCATTCATATCGTCCACTTTATTGAATCTTCTAGACAGTGAAAACGATTTTGTAACTCTATCTGAAAGTTTTAGGGGCTTTGGATTACAGCACGAGGGGGACGGAGCGTTGACTTCATTAGACATGACCTCTTCAACTTAACGTTTAGGTTCAGTGTGCCTCTCACCATTCGAAGATCACTGCCAGTTTTCACCAAGGCGATTACTGAAACTTCACTGAACATTTGTCGTCTTGTCATCATATTAAAGTCAATCTCATTTTTTCGAACCGTCGGGGTTTGACCAAGTCCACTTTCTGTGGGGCCGCTTTTGGAAGAAAGTGTTCATCATAAAGAGTCCCTTTTTTCCCTAAAGTCGGAAATAGAAAACGAGGACGACGACTTTTTATGATAAACTCTTTATTCCTAATATGATTTATAGGTGAAATAAATTAAATGAATTAACAATGAATTTGTTTAGTAAATATCAATATCATATATTACATAACTGTTGGAAAAAAATTTATTTATACTTTTTTAATTAAATGTTAGCTAAGTTGAAAGAGCAAGTCGAAGAAATTAACAAAAATGGCAAGAAGCTCAAATTCCACATGAAGTAAAATGTAAACAAGCGACGGAGAACCATTAAAAACAATTCGCAAGTTTTTTCGATAAAAATAGGAATCTAGATAATGTTTTTTCTACCATAAAAACATTTGCGATGCCTACTTTTTGCTTTGATGAAATGTACCAAGTGGAGAAATCTTTCATGATTTTTGAAATTTAGAATTACTTAATTATATTTTTATTTATTTCAACGTTGAATGAAAGTGACTGTTTAGTGGCGGTGTAAGAATATATACTACGCCATACCGTGACCGTCCTTAAGGGCGCCAGTGGGAATCAAACTGAGAGATGGGCAGCACCGTCTTCCTTGTTACAAATAAAACATAAAACTACGGCAAATATTCCCCTTATGAGAAAGGCTCATGCTTAGCAGTTGACTTTTATAGACTATAACGGAATGGTTGAGTGAAACTTGTATTTTTTTGGTTATTCCTACATTTTGCGATTCGAGTGTTTTATGGTAAATAATCCAAAACTAAAAAAAAAATTACGCATTAAAATTCGTAAATCATTATCTAAAAGAATTATTAGTATTCGCTTAAAGATAAGAAAATCATTATGTGTTTTTGAAATGTTTATTTATGTAAATGCCAAATTCAACTTAACCTTTATTGTTGTTTTGGTAAAATATTGGATTTAGATTGTTCATTGCCAACAATAAATTAGTTACGCTCTTAGATAGACGCTATAAATAAGCAAGCTACACATTATACTCGTAATTACCTACCTACCTGATATTTACTAAATACCTAACTAATTAAACACACAACTTGATTATATTAACGCATAGGCGTGAATCATGGCGCATCACTATTCAACCACTTCATCTACATGTGTATGAGTATCTTTAGAACATATCCTTACGCTTGACATAATGGGCAATAATCGATATGCGCGCTCTATAGCTTGCTTATGAAATACTCTATAGTTACGCTCTTAACTTCTTATTTGGCGTAAGAATATGTAGGCAGATCCGTAGTATTTATTTAAATTTATGATTTTATTTCTTTCTATTGCTATATCTTCTGTACTATATTCCATTAAGGCTTTAACTAGCCTGAATGACCTTGACGAAACGGCGATCGCAGAGATTTTAGCCGACGTCAACACCGTCTAGCAACTACGTTCTGTATTACTTATAAAAGTGCAAAGATTAATAGACTGCAGAGATGACAATTATATAAGTGACATACTGCCTGTTATGTTTGCGCATCACTGAGAATTATGTCGCGGTTACGCATCTTCAATTACATTGCACGGTGTGGTGCTGTAGCTTTGTCCGATAGGCGTCACGAGCTATCAAGTGTTCAAGTTTCAAATACGTAAGTTTTTTAATATATATGTTAAAATGTATTTATTTGTGTCGTATTAGTAGATCTGGGTCAAAGCGTTCGCTGTAAATTTTTCCCATGTTTGATCCCCGACAACACGAATGAAATTTGTAATTGCAATTTTCGTCAACACGCATTGGGGCAGCACGGCGGGCATTTCCTTGCCCTAAAACCCTCAGAAATAAAAAAAGAGTCCTGTGCCCAGTAGAGGGACTTGTATAGCCTATTACTTTACTTTGTAGCAATATTTATATTCGTTTCAGATACAGAAGGGTACCTTATGCTGACAAAAATATCGCGTGGAGGCGACGAAAACGTAAAACATCTTTGTACCTAGATAAAACGTTCGAGAGATTGTCAGTCATGTCATACGTCACATTTTCTATAGAGCGTAGAACATTGCAGAGAGAGCAAAATAAAAAATAATCAAAAATATTATGGGAACTATTTATTAATAATATATAAATGGCGGCACGTGCGGCAGCGTCGGTGTAGCTAGAAATAATTCTTGTAAATAACACGTGCTCCGCACACCTGCACCATTGCACCTGCGGTGGCGCCCGTTTTGCTTGTATAAAACGGACGGAGCGGCCGCCGTTAGGGCAGTCTTGGCTCTGACGTGGAACGGTGCGCTTGTCGTATTCCGTTACTAGTTTATCCTCGACTCGTTGGATAATTAATTCGTGTAAACGAATTAATTATTATTCCTAACTACAAAATCAGTCTCTGTACTATACCCACTATACTTCCTACATCAGAAGTGGGATAAAGTCCCCATTTTTGCCCACATACAATCTTCGAATAGTATGAGGATTATTACATTTGTGAAAGACTATAATGCATTCTGCATTGATGATTCTGTTTTTATGTTAAAAACCGTAATGAAATTTGCTGTCCTACTTACGATATTGTCGTATCTTTAAAGTGTAGAGAAAAGATAATGTGAAATTATTTAAGCAATTATTTTTAATTTGTTCAATTTGTATTAAAAGTACCCGCAAGTATTTTCATTATTTCTTGACGTACCTAAATATGTTAATAAATGTCAAAAGAAATGTTGGAGGCTTTCTAATTAACTTGTTCAAGTTTTGTTGTAATTTGATAGTTCATGCGAAACGTGATTATCATTTGCCATATTTTGAAGTTCGAAACGTTTAAGGATTGTACTACAATAAAGGATTAACTTTAACACTCTATGAATTGAAAATAATAAGTGACATTTTTGTGTTCTAATGTGTTGATCAGTGTTGCAGTTTGCTCCGAATATTGTGTCGTTGACAAGATTGGGGTTTGATGTCGAGGGATTCGTAGAAGTCTCTACAACAATGATCAATGAGGAAGACGTTGTGATGGCTAATCGAACATGGTCAGGTATGGCCGAGCGCTGGTTAGATTGAGCCTACACCGCTACAATCGGTTACTTATCGGCTGATTTTACTGCAGGGCAATTCAAGCGGCCGCCGAATAAATGGTGCTTTGGCGCTGTAAATGGACGGCTTTCGTAGATTTTACGCAGTTGCCTTCTGCGCTTTGAGATATGTTGTGGTATCTGTCTCTATACATAGTTTCCATTTTTTTTGCAATGTTTTCAAATGTCATACAGTTGCCGTTTCTTAAGAGGATATGTGATGAATTTTGGAAGCTCGGAATTCCATGGTTCGCAATACATTTATCTAGATTTCTTTTAATTTTGCAAAGCAGTGAGACGATTCGCTAGCGCTAGTACGGCGCGACGGCTTGCTGGCGCGAATGTGGCACGAACGCAGCAGAATGAAAAGTTATAGTGCGTTTACCTGGAGGTAGCCATATCGGCGCATTAGAGACTTAAATGAAGTCTGGTATGGTCGACCGTTGTAATATTTAACAAGAGTTAATATCTGTTAGCAGGTGGTGATAACTGATAGACCGTATGCTGTTCACTGTCAACCGCACGAGGACGTGCGACAGTCGGGGGTAGCCGTGTCTGTGCATCTAGAAAATACTAGAGACGTTGCAACACTCTAGCGAAGTAATTATTCTAGTGCAGGAAAGGAACATGAAGTTGCAGGGAGGCTGGTCTGTGCTGCACTGGGATTATGTGTCGTGTTGCTGTTGGTTTACATACTTAGGTTGAATACTTTTTAATTCGAGGAGAAAAATTAAACTTCTTGATGCAGATATTATCGCCGTGTACTTCTCAATTCACAAAAAAAAATTGGCGGTAGTTATAACTTAAAAACAACAAAGAAAAACAAAAGAAATAAGTAAAACGTATGTAACGCAACTTCGTGCGTAACAAAAAACCACAGGCGTTTTCGTAGACATGCCCCCCGGCGTTGAAAGCTTGTCTTTCAACAAAATTAGCCTTCCTTGTTGTTAGGTATAGGGCAGATTTTGCAGAAAGGTCTTCGGACGATTCCGGTGGCAGTTCTGATATCGGCAACGCGGTTGATGCCGTCGGCTCCGGGATGAAAGGCTGTAATTCGACCCAGTCGCCATTTGAGCGGCGGTAAATTGTCTTCCTTCAGAACTACAAGATCACCCGTCCCTAAAGTGTCAGCATTGGAACGCCATTTTGATCTCTGCTGGAGTTCTGAGAGATATTCCTTGCTCCATCTTCTCCAAAAATGTTGACGAAGTTGTTGGATGCGTTGGTATCGACTCAGTCTACTGCTAGGGACTTCTTCATAATTTTGAGAAGGAAGAGAGGTGATGGGGCGGCCGATGAGGAAATGTCCCGGGGTTAATGGCAGTAAGTCATCAGGATCCGTGGAGAGAGGTGTCAGCGGACGAGAGTTCAGTACACCTTCAATTTGAACCAGCACAGTGTTTAATTCCTCGTATGTAAGGTTACAATTACCTAATATTCTCCGTAAATGATATTTTATTGACTTAACGCCTGCTTCCCAAAGATCGCCAAAGTGAGGGGCTTGCAGAGGAATGAAATGGAAATTTATATTTTCCTGAGCCAAATTCTCGGACAGTGAATTGCAATTGTCTTTTATAAAACGACCGATTTCGTTGTATGCGCCCACGAATGAAGTTCCGTTGTCGGATTATATGTGTTTAGGTTTTCCGCGACGTGAAATGAATCGACGAAGTGCTGATAAGCAATTATTACTTGTTAGATCGCCTGTTAACTCCACGTGTACAGCCTTTGTCGCAAAACAAACGAAGATGAGAATATACACTTTCGTAAGCTTGCAACCACGGCCTTGACGACTGGCGGACATAATAGGTCCAGCATAATCGACGCCAACGCTCTCGAAGGGAAAACCGCCGGGAGTCACTCGACCCTGAGGCAGATTGCCCATAAGTGGATTTATAACCCTTCCCTTATAACGACAACATAAGTGACATTGTCGATAACAATATTTAGATAACTTGATGCCTCCGATGGGCCAATAAATTTCTCTAATTGAAGCTAATAGTAAACGAGGACCGGCGTGTAAAAGCTTGACATGCATATACTTAAACAATAATTTGGTAAAACGATTAGTGGACTGTCACATAATCGGATGTTTCTTTTCATAAGTAAATAATGCATTTCCTAAACGACCACCAGAAACAGAAACAGAAACAGAAACTTTTTTATTCAATATAGATTATAAATAATACTTATTGAAAGTCACTCTTTTGTTTGATTACCACTGGTTCGGAAAAAACCTCTGTCCTGGGAAGAACCAGCAAGAAACCCAGCGGGACTTTTTTTTTTAAAATAACAGCTTACAATCATGATGTTACACAAATTAACAACACAACAAATTAGAAATAGCTTGGTAGCGATCACCTCATTTCCAGGGGTTATTATCATCCATAAATTCCTTAATATTATAATAACCCTTTTTATACAAACTTAGTTTAATAAAGTTTTTGAACTTTGAACAGGTCAAACTTTGTATATTTTCTGGAATTTTGTTGTAAAAGCGTATACATCGCCCCAAGAATGAATTACTGACTCGATGGAGTCGAGTAACTGGTACTACTAGCTTGTGTCTGTTCCTAGTATTTACAGAATGAATATCACTTATTTTTGCAAAACTACTTTTATTTTTGTGTACGTACATTACATTTTCATAAATGTATTGAAAGGCCAAAGTTAATATATTTATTTCCTTAAATTTTTGTCGCAGCGACTCTTTAGGCTTTAAATCATAAATTGCTCTTATGGCCCTCCTTTGCAAAACAAATATAATTTCAGTGTCAGCTGCGTGTCCCCATAGCAAAATACCATACGACATTATGCTATGGAATTAGCTGAAGTAAACTAGTCTAGCTGTTTCAACACTGGTTAGACTTCTAATCTTTTTTACAGCATATGCTGCAGAACTAAGTCTGCTTGCTAGTTTTGATATATGGGGGCTCCATTGAAGCTTCGCGTCTAGTGTGATTCCAAGAAAAATGGTGGTATCTACAAGACTCAGTTTCTCCCCGTTTAAAATTACATTAGTATTTAATTGTTTGACATTTGGAGTCACGAATTTCATACATTTTGTTTTAGTGCCATTTAAATGCAAATTATTAACATCGAACCAATTTACTAATTTAGATATAGCATTATTTACTTCGTCATATTTTAGTAATTGTCAACTTAATTTGAAAATTAAAGAAGTGTCATCTGCAAATAATACTATATCATGGTTATCCCCTACTATGTAAGGTAAGTCATTAATGTATACAAGAAACAGAAAGGGGCCGAGAATTGAGCCTTGAGGCACGCCCATTTTTACCATCGATCCGGAAGAGCTCATATTTTTAATGACAACTTTTTGCGTTCTCTTACTTAAATATGAAATAATTAATTTAAGGGCATCACTTCTTACACCGTAGTGTTGAAGTTTCCTGATTAATGTTTCATGGTGAACACAATCGAAGGCCTTGGATAGGTCACAAAATATACCCAAAGCATCCTGTGAATTCTCCCATACATTAAAGATATATTTAATCAGCTCAACACCGGCATCAGTTGTCGAGCGACCCCTTGTGAAACCAAATTGATTTTTATGAAGTAAATTATTTATATTAAAAAAATTTAACATTTGATCAAGAACAATTTTTTCAAAAATCTTACTAAGTGTTGGTAGTACAGAAATAGGTCTAAAATTGGCGGGGTCTAATGTACTACCAGATTTAAATAAAGGTATTACTTTACTATGCTTCATTAAATCAGGAAACACACCAGATTCGATACTAGTATTAAAAATAATAGCTAAATGAGGCGCGATTGTATCTATTATAGACGCAATAACTTTAACGGAAATCCCCCACAGATCCGCAGTTTTCTTAACATCAATAGTTTTAAAATATTTTACAATATCTTTTGATGACACTTTATGAAATGTAAAATTCTTTGTACACACATTTACATTTTGTTTAAGTAATGATTCGGCGACGGCAGGAGAAGAATTCAGTGACTTAGTGGTCAAGATCGGAATATCAGTAAAATATTTCTCAAAAACCATTGCTACGTCCTGATCTGATACAGTTAATTTGTTGTTAACACTTAACTGGTAATTTGAATTGCGAGAGTTGATCTTACCAGTTTCGCTATTAATTATACTCCATGTCATTTTAATTTTATTGGAAGCCGTCTTAATTTTGTTGCTCAAATGCAAAGACTTGGCTATGGAGCACACTCTTTTAAATATTTTTGAATATTTTTTTACATATTCCCTAAATTCGACGCTATGATTATATGACCTTTCATGGTAAAGATCATATAACCTATGCCTGCTCTTATGGACTCCTACTGTCGCTCATTCATTGAATGACTTCCGACTGTTCAAGGAGAATGTTTTAGAAGTAAAAGTATTATTAAATTCATTGCAAATAAGCTTAAATAATGTTCCATACAAAAAATTTGGATCATTTTGGTATGAAAGTGATGGAAGTTTTTTCACTATGTTACTTCTAAATTTCTCCAAGCGACGTGCATTTACTGGAACAGACACAACTTTCTCATCTACTCGCTTTTTGTGAACATAAGGTAACGAAACTACTTGTATACAGTGATCAGAACTTAATTTTTGAATTATACATTTATGCAACGGCTTCACATTTGTAAAAATGTTATCTATACATGTTGCACTAGATTGAGAAATACGCGTTGGCTCTATAAATAAATTAAAAAGACCATATGATTTAAACAATGATCTAAATTTAATATTGATGGAGGAAGCTTCTAGGAGATTGATATTAAAGTCTCCACATATTACAACAGATTTATTCTGTTTATTAAGCTTAGTAAAAACTTCCTCCATAATGTTTTCGAAAGTATCATATGTACAACATGGGGGTCTGTAGACGCTCACAACAATGAGGTGCTCAAACTCAACACATGTCATTTCTACAGTTCGCTCAACAGAGAGGCTCACAATGTCTTTACGTTCTTTACATGATAATAATTTACTAGCTAATATTAAGGAGCCACCTCTTAAAACCGTATCTCTATTGAAAGAACTGACCACCTGGTGATTACTGAAGTTAAACATTAAATTATAAGCTTTTAACCAATGTTCAGTAATACATAAGATATGAATATTGTTGCTATTTAAGAACAACTCAATTTCTAGCTCTTTGCCTATCATGCCTTGTATATTTTGATGCACCAGGTGTAAACAATTTTCATTATTACTCTGTGGAGTCATACAATTAAAGATTTGTAAGCTACATTCTAAATTATTTAAGTTATTATAACTGCTAGAGATTACCTCTATTGTCTCATTTTCTAATTTAAATTACTTGGAACTGATTCCAAATTGCATATTAAGTCATTACACTGCTCAAAAGAAGCAGATGTCTGTGTAGCCAAGTCCTTGGCTGAGTTAATATATAAATAATAAGATAGCACATTTGCTATCTGTCTTAAATTATATTTTGATAGGTAATACCTATCTCTAGTAAAAAATTTCTTAATTAAATTATTTATATCTATTAAATTAATTCTATCATTATAATTGTAACAATTAAATGTCAAGTTTAAATTATTATTACATGAAAAGTTATTCATTAATAAATTTAAATCATATCTTATTTTATTTTCCTGCGGCCAACCCTGTATGTAAGGCAATGTAAACAAGATAATTTTATGTATATTTAAAGTATTTAGATTATCAATATATTTTAATAATTGATTTTTGTTTACATTGCCTCTTCTCCCAACAAGAATTATTAATGTGCTATCAGGACAAAATTTACTAGCTAAAACTTTATTCATTATATGACTAAAGGATGCTCCAGGCATGCAATAATTAGTGATCATATGTCCTTTTAAACAGTTATTTAACATCATGCCCAAATTTTTGCCTATGTCATCACAATACATAATAAATTTATTTTTTTAATATTTACATTGCTTTTTAAGTTTATATCCTTTGTCATGGAACTGTCATAGAGTGTAGGTGAAAATAATGAGGTCTTACTGTTAACTTTGTTATTTACACATATTGTCCCCGATGAACCTGGTATAGAGCGCTGATACTCACTCTGATTTTTTATTAAGGAGTCAAAGCGCTCCTTATTATATTCACATGATTTTACCAGATCATTCATGGCCAATATGTGTTCTTTTATCTCATCTTGAGCCGATGCATATTTATTTGATACAATTTCTAGAGAGCTTTTAAGTGATAAAATAGTTGAATTTAGACACTCTTTATCAGTCTCATAACAGTGATTCATATTTTCCACCTCAATTGAATATATTTTAAGTTTATTAATTAGTTCTTGCTTTTCTTTGCATACATTTATATAATTTTTAACATTAATTTTATTTTTAATTAATTTTTGTAGTTTTCTAATATATTTATTAATTTTTATATATTTCTTTAATTTTCTTCTACTGCAGGTAGTCCTTGCTGCTGTTCTTGATATGACATAATCATCACCAGTCAAATCGAT